TGTATTGTTATTTTAAAACCTATATACCCAAATGCAATTTAACTTATTCTTTACTGGAAGAATTCACAATATCTTCTGTTCTACTTGAGGGACTTTCTTGCCACATTTCATACAGAAAACAAAAGTGACAGAGTTATTATGCTGCTTTTAATAGAAATAATCTCAAAATTCATGAGCTACTGTCTTCATAAATATGTATTATGAACTTGCCTATTTTAATGTGATTAGATGTGATTTAGATGTTAAATAGCAGTGTTCTGGAATACCATATTTGGCTAAGGAAAATTTCAACTTTATGATAACAGCAAGTTTTAAAAGTTTTATTTATAATTTCTATTTTTTTTAATAAGGCAGCTATAATATGAAGCGATGCCTTTCAAGCATTTCTAGCACTTTTTCTATCTGCTTCTGTTTCTCTAAGTACACAGAAATTAGCCTTTGGGGGTAAAATTTCAGATTCTAAAGTACTGACCCAATCTGTTTTGGAAAGTGGGCATAATTTAGTTAAAGGTTATTCTTCTTTCCACCATATTTTGGGTTTTTACTATTATAGATACAAAAGACAGTTCAAATGACAGTTTGCTTCTGGAGAAGTAAGCTACTAGGCACTAAATAGTTGTAGCTGCTGGTACAGAAAATAAAGTTCCTTATCAAGGTCTGAAAAGTTAATAGGGAACATGTCAATCACAAACTTGAGAAAGAGTTGTATGTTGTATTCAAAAAGGATAATCTTTACTTTGGAGTTAAATTTTATAATAACTGAATGAATCTAAGTTTTTTCAAAGCATTCCTGGCTAATCATGCCTTTGTAGCTGTTCATGGAACAATGTCACACATATATTATTTATTCCTGTGTGAAAACCTGGGTGAAGGAGCTGCATGGATCAACTTTTCAGGGTCTTTTCAAACAGTATGAGAGACAGGAAAAATAATAAATAAATACAGACATTTCGAGGCAAATGGCTGAGAGCTGATTATAGAAGTAAGGAAAATGTAGGCCCTGAAGTGCAATAATGTTGCAAGTACTTGCTGGAGGGAAAGTACACTCCGAACAGAATATGATGGAAAAACAGCTCCAAGGGGGAAAAAAAGAAGTATGTATGGTTTGAGTTTAAAACCATAACTCATTTACATTAAGAGATCAATCAGTGGGAAAATCCATTCTGCAGTGTTAGCCCATCAGTAACAAGCTAATTGAACACAGAGCAAGCAACAGCCTGGGTGGCCTCTTCTCTCTTTTATCTGCACAGCAAAGCCCAGAGCAGCTCCAAGATCCCCTCTCTGCAAGCCTGGTGCTTCCAGACAGGGTGACCATTCGACTGAGACCAAGGAATGTCATCTGCAGGAGTGTAACATCTTTGAAATGTATTTCCTTGCTTCTGAATGGGGCTGAGAGCTGTGGTCAGCAGTCACCCGGTGTAGGCTTCTGTGCAGGTCTGGTGCCCTGGCCACGGCGCAGGAGCTGGGTGGCCATGCTGGAGCTGGAGATGAAGCTGGAGCTTTGTCCAACACACTGTGCTGAGATCTCCAGAAATAAACACACTTATGTAACATGCAGAATCGTCCCATCTTTCCCCTGTGTTCTTTTGGCAGAAAACTCACAGGAAATATCCTGTTAGTGGAGATAAAAGGATTGATTTACTCTGTTCCTGGTAATACATAATTGCTTAATCACAAGCACATAATTAAACTCCATTGGGAAGGTTACAGTGACAATGATTGCCCAGCAAAGACCAGTTCCCCCAGAGACGCTATGTTTACATCAGCTGTATTTTTTTATAATTGGTAAAAGGGGAAATGCACTAAAAAACCTGAATGTTTGGCAAGAGCTGTGGAGGCTTGGGGCAAAGGAGGATGGACACAGCCAGAGGGGCACCAACAGATGAAGGGGAGAGAAGGTTTTAAATTATTTCCTTCACTAACTGAACTATTTGTGGAAGCTGTCTCTTTGCAAAAGCAGTTCTTGTGTACTGAGGAGGTCACCAAGCTCAGCAAGTTCTAAAGAGGCCTCTAATCTGCTGAGCACCCTCCCAGACAGTGCCAACACTGGGGCCCACCTGACCCCACCATCCACCCTCCAAAGGTTGCTCATGTGGATGGCATGAGGCCCAGGGGAGCCAGGGTACCACCAGTGGCCAGAACAGCTGTGGCATACCCATATTTGAAACAGCAGATTCAGTGGGGAGTCACAGCTCCCCAGCACAGAGACACCACTACCCAGCTTATCACTGAAAGTAGCAAACAGAAAGCTGCTCTTCCCTGTCACAGGAGGCACTTTTGCAAACTGGTGCATGAGTCATAAGTCCTTTTAATGAAACTTGTTCTTCAGTCATCTGGAAGTCAGAGCTAAAGATACTTTTTAATTTCTTTGTTATGCAAATTCTGTATTAGGCACTCACTGTATTAGGCACCCACCATGAAGGAGCAGTAGTTTGCTGAGACTGACAGACTTATGTGCATGTCCACAACTCCAAGGCTTCCCCAATAACTGTGTGAATGATGAGGTCCTTTTTGTGCACAGAAGAACGCTGCATTCATTTTTATCACTGGTGATGAAGAAAGTATGAGAACTTAAAAACAAAATAAAAATCTTCAGTGCACAAGAAATGCTGTGTTCCTATCAGAGAGAAGAGACCCAGTTCCAGTTTGTGGGAGACAGCCTGTAAGTGCAAGTAAAGAGCATCAATTTGCAACCTGCAGAGCAAAAGAAGAAAACTCTCTACTTCAGAAAATGGTACTTCCTTTGAGCTGGCAAGAAATATTTCAATAACAGGTTGTGGAGAATGTAACTTCAAAGTTTGGAAGTTGACGGAGTTTTGGAAGCAGTTGCTGAAATTTGCATCCAAAAGTGATTTAACTTCCCCAGTAAGTGATGTGTACACATGGCACACACTACTAAATCACATATGCACTCAATGTATGAACTCCCACTTTCTTGACTTCCCATTCCAGCTTTAACATTTTTTCCAGTATAAAAAGACATTAATCAAGCTTGCAATAGGATGTGTGTATAAATGCCAAAGAAAAAATTAAAATCAACTGCTATTTGAAAATTTCTGAGCCTGGAGTACTTTGTTTGGATACTTAATGCCATGTGAATCCTGTACACCATTGTAGGCAACCAGTTAATGGAAGAACTCTTTAGGCCAAAGCTATTCCAAGTTTGGCTTTCTTTGGTAGCATGACCTTTTATAGTGACCAAAATAGTTATACAATCATCTGGATATGTGGGGCAAACTGTTTTTCTGTGAACTGGTTCCTTAGAGTATGGTAATTCATTAAAAAAGCATCTTCTTTGCTCCTGCCAAAGAGGAAATATTCTGTCCAGAAAAGAGAAATGGGGGGGACATTACTGAGAATGCATTATCTAACATCTTCTTTCCCTCAACTTACTCTCCTGAGAAAGTATGATTTCCTGAGATCATATGGAAGAAGAATGGCAACAGCCTGCAGTATGTGAAAGGTTTCTGCAACAAAATAGAATTCTTTCAGCCTAAAAGTACAATCAAAGCATCTTACTGAAAGTTTTTAGGAGAAATCTTTCTTTTGAGAACTTGTCAGCATAATTATGGTAGGAACAAATTTACCAAAACAAATCTTCACTTTATGAATGCTGGTAGGTGTCATCTCTAAAAATGTTTAGATACAATACAGGAAGAGAATGAGACAGAAAATTTTTACATCTTGCTTAATACTCTAAAATTATCACCATCACTGCTAAATAAGAAGGGACACTTGGAAAAGCTGTCATTTTTCACTTGATAATATTTAAATCTACTTGTACAGGTTCATCTGTACCTGTACAAGTAGATTTAACTTGTACAGGTACAACTTGTAGATTTAACTTGTACAGGTAATGAAAGATGCAGCAGCTTGAGCCTCATCTCATTTGGTGGAAATTCTGTTACTTTTCCCTCCCCTCCCTTTCATTTTTTCATTTTGAGTACTATCATACCTTCCCCAAACACATGAGAAGGTGCATGTCTTATCCCACGAAATAGGTAGAGGCCAGGAAGATAGCAGCCATTCTGAAAGCAGAGGTGTATGTCACCTTCCATGTTGCAGGATTAGCTGAGACACCTGTGATGTTTCATTTCCATGAGCACGTCCTCAATCCTTCCATTTGGTAGGAGATATGGAAGATACAGGCTGGCAGCTCCTAATATGCATCAGGTTTGCATCATATCTTGGTTTGCTTCACAAGTCATCCCAGCAGTGAGGTGAGGAAGGCATGTACCTGTGTCCACCAGCCTCTGCCTGCTACAGGGCAGCAGAGTGGATCTGTGTCCAGTGAGAAGTGTCACAGTAGGAATAGGGAGGAAAAGGAGAAACAGTAGGAGAAAATAGGGAGAAAACAGGAAAAAATGAGACTAGGAGAAAATAAAAAGAAAACATGCTTTTCAAGCACAGCAGAATGCATTTGCCTCTATCTCTATTTCCCTCACACTTCTATTTTCAAACTCTGTTACCACGTATCTGAAAAGCATGTTGGATGCTTTGAGGCCAATACGCAGCATACCACAAGCAAACAGGAATGCTCTTATTCAGAGACATAAATTATATGATGCTGGGCATGGACCCTGAACTCATTTGCAGCATGATGGGCATCTTTCTGATGATATCCCACAGAGTAATCACAAATTATTTTGGGGTAACAAGACCCTCCTGGGACAAAATACGTTAGCAGTGCATTCATTTACAATCACTTGGCACAGCTGAAGTTTTGCTCCTACTGGGTTAGAAACAGGACCTGAAATATCAGAGCCTACTGAAATACCTCATGGTCGACATCAATGATGCAAATGCAATTAATATTTCTGCCTGGTCTGTTATGACTCTGCTTTCCTAATGCAGTAGAGTAGTTAGAAAAGCAATGGCACATAATGGCACATAAACACTTTCCAAGTGGCTGTCCTATTAAGGTTATGCAAGACCCAGGGCAGTCTTCTGTGACGTCAACTCTGGCTCCTGGCCTGACACACAGTTACACAACAGGACAAGGCAAGGGCAGAAAATGGAGATGCTCTGGAGTTATCAATTTTTTTAAATACAGTTTAAGCACATAGCTTCTGTTGCCATCACTGGGAAGACATCAGTCAGGTAAACAGCAGTGAGGAGAGTTATGGTCACACTTGGACATTTTTTTTCCTTTTCTGTATATTATTCTTTATTCTTCTTTTCCTGTATCTATCCTGATTTTCCCTCTCTGAGAGTCTTGGCAAGGGAGCAAAAGAAGCTCAAAAGTACATAGTTTATGACTGAGTAATGCTCTGCTAAAGGCAGAGAATGTCTCTTTTTTTTTTTTTTTTTTTTTTCATGGTTTCATTTTCATGGTTTTTTTCTTACTTTGTGCATAAGCTGTTAGCCTTGAAGCCCTACTGATATTTATGATTCCTTCCACACTAGGAAGGAATCATAAATATCAGTATTTATTTTTTTTGATTTGTGCTGGTTGTGCTGGTGGGAGTTTGGTCCAGCACTAGGGGAAATCACAAGCAGGGAAAGGAAATGTCATGTCACGTTGCATAGGAAAGGGATTCAACACAAACTTTTTTCCTCACTTCCTGCTTAAGCCCACTGCATTATACCAATGAAAGCTGAACATAAATGGAAGTGCATCTGCAGTGAAGAAGAGCTCCAGGTTCCACTCTTGGAGGATAGGATCTGCTGGTCTCACTTCCCAGTGCTGTTTGAAGAGATCAGGGATCTCATCTGGGAGAAATGTCATTTCCTTCATTAGCCAGCCTTTTTGAATGCTATTTTGCTCTCTCTCAATTTAAAACCATGCAGATAACCCTGGCAGAGGAGGAAGCTGCTTCTCAGAGCACAGACAAAGCCCTGTGAAAGGATGTCCTAATGCTCCTCGGAGGAACAAGGCTGTGTGAAGGAACTACGGATTCTCTTTACTGGTGAGAGAAGTCTACATGGGATGGGCACGTGGCTGCTGGCCTTGCCTGCTGAGCTCCACACCACAGCCAGCAGAGAGGAGTGGGCTGGCAGCATAAGCACAGGCAGGAGAACCAGGACGTGCAGCACCTGCAACCTGAGCGAGGGGAAAGACAGAGAAGAGGGGTAGCATGTACTGGTATCTGTTATCCAGCTATTGGACACGCTACCCAAAGGAAAGGCCTCTGGCCAGCTGTGGGAAATGGAAGGACAGAGAGCTCCCAAGGCCTTGAGTATACAAGTTCAGAGATAGAGATGGATACAGTGTTTGGCATAAGGCCTTGGAGAAAGCTTGGAGCTTTAGAATAGAATAGTGAAGCAGACAAGAAGTAAGAATAAAGATTTGTAGTTTAAGCAGAAATATGTTTGAAGCAAGTAAATATAGGCCTCATATAAGGGAACAAATATATTAAGCAAGATAGTAGAAGATAGTAGAAAACAATTAAAGTTTAACAATAGATCTTGTAGAGTTGCTAAAATGTAAAAGATACAGCAATAAGTTTCTGTGGAGTTATATGATTGCATAGAAAAAGATGGATTGTGGTAAATCATGTAAAATGTAGCAATAAGCAATTGGTTGTGAAGGTGCTAGCGAGCTTTGTGGAAGTAGCTGATTGGGTAAGAAACTTATAAAAGACATGGTACCTAGAATTATAACGGCTTCTGAAGCAAGGCTTCTAATGTGATATCTTTGGATGTAACATCCTTACAGTCTCACCCTTCCATGAGACTGATTTCTCAATAAACTATCTTTTAAACATCTCATCAGTCAACCCCATCTTTCTGTATCCCGAACACCCAGTCAAAAGTGCTTTCTGGAAAACACCTGACAGCCAAGAGATGTATGAAGCCCAGTGCTTCCCTGTTCCTCCTCAAAACATTCACAGATTGCTACTTAATTTCCATATTTTTCCATTAGTCTACCTAAAGAACTGTTCATTCAGTTGCTCAGTCAGGAGAATGCATTTGCTTGACATACTGGAGTCCTATCTACTTATATGTGTAGTTATCCTTTCTACTTACACCCATTTTAGGCCTTGTCAGAATAAAACTGTGAAACTTTTCAGACAAAACCAGTATTGGTAATGAAGGTTTGAATTGCAAGCACTGATAAAGCTCAGTCTGAAATAAACATTTTGTCTCAAATTATCTGCTACAATTTTATGTATTTTTTTGTCTCTGACACATACCGGCTTGCACTAATTTATTTTAGTGATACCTTGGAAGAAGACACCAGAGAAAAAACACTCAGCCAAGGGTTTCCCTGTTGGTGAAGAAAATCACACCTGAAGCACAAAGTGACCTATTCTATATGAAGTCAGAAAGAGCAAAACCTCGGATTTGAAAAACTCTGGAGTTTTGTGGAATGTTTGATACTGATCTGACACGTGTGACTCAAGCCTTTGTGGCCCATTGTATGTTGGGGTGTTTTTTTGATGAAGAAAATAACCAATAAATCCAGGTCTGAATGGTCATGATCCCTGGAAGTCTATGCATTAAAATACAATCAACCAATTCAGAATACTGGCCTTTTTTCCTTTAGTTCCATGTTTCATCCTCACCATCTCCCTTAACCATCCTTGGTAAGGTTTTTTCTGCAGGATGTGTATTTTATACCCTGACATCTTGGTACAAATATTTTATTGTCAGAATTGGGACACAACTATGCTTGCAATCCAACTACCTATTGTGGATTTCATGTGTCTGAACTTGTGACTGTCTGTGAAAAATTTAAGCTTTTCTGTTCCCTCTCTAGTCCTCCCAATTCATTTGGAACCATCATTCAGGGAAAAGAGACCTTCTCAGTGAAAAGCAGCTGTCTTTCTCTTAGTTTATAAAAAGTCACTGGATTTCTCTGAAGCAGTACAAATTCCTTGCATTTTATAAAACAGCTGTTCCACTTGAATGTTAATGCTGCCTTCAAATTATGTGTATGTGTGTGTGTGAATGTGTGTGTGTGTGTGTGTGTGAATGTGTGTGTGTGTGTGTGTGTGTGTGTGTGTGTGTGTGTGTGTGTGTGTGTGTGTGTGTGTGTGTGTGTGTGTGTGTGTGTGTGTGTGTGTGTGTGTGTGTGTGTGTGTTCTCACACCTTTCAAAGAAGCCCTTCACAAAATGTGTTTGCATCAGAGATGCAACTGCTGGACTTCCATCTCAATGTTGCTATTGTTCTCATCTCATCTCATATCTCATCTCATCTCATCTCAACATCTTATCTCATCTCACATTTGCTGTTATCACTCTCAGATGTGACTTCCCAACCACAAGAAATTGTTTTGCGTTGGTATCAGCCTAATTGATCTGTATTTTCTTTGTCTGAAATAAGTTTTTAGTACCAAAAATAAGGAAGGGATCTTATTGCGAACTCTTCAGTTGTTATGGGGCAAAATTCAGGTAAGACGGTACATTTCCACAGGTCAAGATCCATAGGAGAGTAAACTTTCTTTCAGAATACTTGCTTTAGTCTGCCTTAACCTAAGTCATCCTTGCTGTGCTTGGAAAGAACATGAATCAGGCCATCAAGTGCTAAAATGAGCTGTCATGTCCTCACACCCAACTCTGTCAATCCTGGCACTATTTTGTCTAACCGGTTCTTTAATACCTCTGAATAGCTCTGTAATAGCTTGCTCCTCCCAGAAAGTTAGTCCAGGTTCTGTCTGCCCTCACAGTCCCCTCTTTCTAGCCTGTATCTCTTCCAGGTCATCCAAGATCCTCAGTTTCTGGGAAATTAGATGAGTTCAGCTCACATCAGTGAAGTTTCATCGTTAAACATGCTTTGAAGGTATGACCTAGTACTGTCAAAACTCAGTCCTTTCACTTCCCTCTTAATTTTTCTCTGTTCCTACCTTTTATCTCTTGATAGATTCACAATGTTCCTTCCACTCACTTTAACATCTAAGCAGTGTGAAAGTGCTGATGCTCACTCCTACATACCATCATCAGCATTCAGCTCCCTTCTTCTGTTCATATTTCTGAAACTTTCAAATCTTCATCTTCACACATGCCCACTAACAGCATTCTGCTAGGAATCAAAAAAACATATCAGACGTCAAACATGTAAAGAAGTTTCTGAGATAATTTTCCAGCCCTGTCTTTCTGAGCAAATAAACCTTCATTTTGTGACCCTCATCTGACTTCCTGAGTTCAAATTTTCAGGAATTACCTTTAATACCACTCATATGGCAAAAGCTCTGCCAGTTTCTCTGTCATTATGTGTATCTACCGAAGTCTGTCATGATCTCAGTCACTACTGTCCATTTGACCTCTTGCCAAAAGGGAAGTTTTATGTTTTCTTCAATTTGTCCTTTTTGAATACACAGCTTTTCAGAGGTGTCCTAGTTCTTCTGGAAAGAAAAAGGCTGGTTCTCCATGTGATTTCAGTCCTTTCCTTAAACCCTGCTCTGACTGCAAATGTCTAATTATAAACTATGAGGTACTACGATCTTTTTAAATTAACTTATTTGACAAGTTTGAATACAATTAAACCATAAATCATTGACAAATGCCCAGGTGCAAATCTGTTAACTTTTGCAAGAATGACTTGCCTATCATCCTTGCTTTAATTTTCCCCTGCTCATCTTCTAACTCCTCATGTATTAGGTCTTCAATAAGCAGAATGAGCTACAAATGTAATATCATTCACTATGTGTTTGGACAGACATATATCTCTATTCTATTTCCCACCCCTACTTAGATTGTTTGTTGTATTATAAGCCCAGCATGGCCTAGGAGTTAGCTGAAACCCCTACAGCCCCTGAACCTTGCAGTGATATCTCTGGGATGTGCCTGCCATGTACTTCTAGGTTTAGCAGAGCAGAGTATGGCAGTGGTCTCATAGTCATGGTTCAAATTTTGTGCCACAGCAGTGGCGCACAGGCAGATTTTGCTGGCATCAGCAAGGCACCTCCTTGGAAAAGCCTTTGTATTTTGACCATTGTGTTAGATACAGAAAATATGAAGAATTCTTCCTTAGGTTTGATCTGAGGACAGCTGACAGTCTTGTTCCCCCAGACAAGGGATGCTCTTAGCCATAGACTTTACAGTAGAGACCTTTTATTGCAGCCTAAATTTTCCCATCTTGGAGGCCTGCTATGGAGACTGTTTATTTGGTTGTTGTTAGGCTAATTATTTAATTTGGACTTTGATTAAATAAAAACATATTATCATTTGGCAATTACACAGAACAGTTTATAGATAGCAGTTAGCAAATTATTTAAAGATGAGAAGTCAGAAGCTTGTTTGAAATTCTGGTTATTCATAATCCACATGGTCTCAAGGTCTTTTTATGTTTTGTTTTTGTTCATTTTACTGTTTTTTTTGTTCCTAGAAATAACTTCCCATAGTCTTGCTTCATCTAGTAGGTTCTGTGTCTATTGTTATACACTTCTGTTATGAATCTGCTCTAACCTGTACACCTTCACTTTCTTATTTGTTCCAGAATTTCCTGCGCCTTACTGTGATACAATTAATCACTTCATCAAAAGAATTATACCCTCCAATACTTAGATACCCTCCAATGCTGATACCCTCCAATACTTGGATAAGTATTTAGATAAGTACCTTAACACAGAAAATTTTGAATTTGTGTAGAGGGGACCACAGTGACGGTAATGGTTCAGTGTGAATATTTGTCTTCAGGAACTGCTGGAATGACAAGACATTACAAAATGGACTAATGCACTGGCAATGGCAAATACCATGTAGAAATAGCAGATGTGCTCAGTTGTCTCCATTGAAGACACAATCAAATCTCACATTGCTGCCTATCCATCTGAAAAAACATCTCTGCAATACAGCCACAAGCAGTTAAGCATTAATGAGAGCCAGACTTGTGATTCAACTCTTGCTGAAGACATTCACAAGGCTACTGAAAATCTAATAAAAACATTTCTGCTTTGGGTCATGAGCAGAGACCCCAAAAGCTTCTTTCTGTTTTGTTCTACACCTGCAGAATCACCGGATATATAAATGAGAACAACATGAACTGGCAGCATGGCCTGAATGGAGGCATGGCTTGGGGCAGAGCTCAGCCTGGCTGCCAAGCAGCCTCATGCACCAGCGATCTCTGAGATCTGCTCCTCTCAGGATGATAAAGACAAAAATCTCCTTTCTCACACCTTCCCCACTTTTCTCAGAAGCAGGCCAGATCCACATAATTAAATAGACTGTCTTCCAGGAACATCAGCCTTGAAAACAGAGGAGACTAGAACTGTCACAAATACCTTGCTGTTTGTAGGGCTGCTGAGAAAAACAAAAATATGGAAGTTAAAGGGCATTAAAATGTAATTATTTTTAGAATTACAGATTATCCTGAGTTGGAAGAAACCCACAATAATCACAGATTTCACCTCCTAACCCTCCGCAGGACAATCCCAAAAAATTACACTGTGATTTTCTTCTTTGTGGTCACAACATGATCACAGCTATGAGTGTTCCATGGACGATGATTTTCTCATTATGATAATAATATATAATACACATTATAATATATTATATCATATATCATATATCATATATTATATAATATACATTATAATATATTATAGCATATATTATATAATATATTCTATAATAATATATTATATCTCATATCTCATATATCATATATCATATATCATATATCATAATATATTATATATAATATATAATAATGAGAGGAAAAATATTCTGCAAGCAAACTAGATTTTCATCAATTTCAGAAAAAGTATGTTGTTACAAGCACAAATACAGCAAAGAATATTTTCACCAGTGGTATTAATTTTGAGACAAAAAATAAAGTAAAAATATTTTTGTCTGGAGCCTGCTATTTAAAGAATAATGCTGGACATGCTAAGGTGGGTAGACAAACCATCATGTGTCTTATGTGCCGTTAGATGGATTTGGATGAATTTGGGTGGTATGTAGGCCTTCAAATCCCTTGCTGGTAAGAATAGAGGAATCAAAGGAATTTGATCCTTCATTTAAAAAGTCAGATCTGAGAGAGCTAGGGTGAACTTTATTATTTCAAATATGACTCCGAGTTTGGTAGGAGATCTTTATTTGTGTTGTATTACACTAAGAAGGTCAGAGAAACTGGGGTAAAACCATGAAATTTTTCTCTGGGCTCTTTTCCTAATGTTCTCCATCCCCAGCTCTTCAATTTTGCAGCTAATTTGCACATCCCTTTAAATAAAAAATTATCTAATGTTTAGAAAAAAAGCAAAATATCAGAAATTAACAATAAGCTAAATAATACCACCTCTTTATTCCAATAGAATATATATTTATGATACTTCAAGTTTCTCACTTCTAATTATTTAATTTTTTGGTGTTACAAAGTGTTGGAAATTGCACTGTAGCTTCTGTTGCTCGTGTGCTGTGGAAAGATTTTTCAGTAAAATAACTTTGATTGGAAATAGTTAATTCTTCCTATAAAATCAATCACAGCACTCACCAAAATGAGACAAATTCAGGAATTCCATCTTTCACCTTGCTGTTATACAGAGCGTAGGCCCTGTCTCTTCTTGCCCTGCCA